CTGCATCTCTCGAATGACCAGTGATGTGGAACATTTTTCATCTATTTACTTGCTGCTTTTACTTCTTTGTCTGAGAAATGTCTGTTCATTTCAGATGCCCATTTTTGAATCGGGTCTTTATATTTGGGGGGCTGGTTGTTTTGAGCTCTTTATATATTCTAGATAATAGTCCTTTGTCTGAGGAGCATCTGGTAAAAATTTTTCCCACATTGTAGGTTGTCTCTTAGCTCTGTTGATGGTTTCTTTTGCACTGCAGAAGCTTTTTAATAAGACGAGATCCCAGTTGTTGATTCTTTCTGCTAGTTCCCGTGCTACTGAGGATTTGTTCATAAAGTCTTTTCCTATGCCAATGTCTTCCAGAGTTCTGCCTAACTTATCTTCCAGCAAGTTTAGTGTTTCTGTTTTTATATTTAGATCTTTAATCCACTTGGATTTTAATTTAGTGCATGGTGAGAGATAAGGGTCTAGTTTCAATCTGTGGCAGGTTGAGAACCAGTTTTTCCAACACCATTTATTAAAGAGGCTATCTTTCCTCCAGTGAGGACAGTCAGCTCCTTTGTCAAAGATGAGGTAGCTGAGACTTTGAATGCAATCTTTGGGGGCTCTGCAGGTACACTGCCCCCTGGGTCAGTAAGCCACTGTGACAAAGGTCTTTTACCAGAAGGGCTCTGTGGACCCCTACAGAGCTTCAAATCAGCGATTTGGTCAAAGTTTGGTGAGAGCTCTCACCCTTCTGGTGAGCAAGCCTGATCCACTGATTGGGTGGGGGGTGCAGGTGCATTCTGGGTAGCCCTTTTCCCAGGCACAGGTGCATTCTGGGGAAGCTGCCCCAGGGCTTGGAAAAGAAACTCTAGCCAGGCGTGGAGGTACACACTTGTAATACCAGTGACACAGGGGAAAACTAACTCCCAACCTGCTAGATGTCGGATACGCCAAGTTTGTGTCCCCTCCCCCGAAATCCAAGACTGAGTTTTAAGGAACAATGGAGGCTAAGAGTAGCAAAGATTTCCTGAGAGACAGGAAGGGACCGGAAGTGGGCTGCCATTGAGGTCACTTCTCTATGAATATTTTATAGAGCAAATTCATGAATAATCAGTCAGATTACAAGTATGGGTGCTTAGCTAATACTGGTCCAATAGGGAAGGAAGCAGGTCCCTAGCAAGGGTACATGGAAAAAGCAAAAGCATTTTTGGGAAGGGATGGCTCTCGATGCTCCGGTCACCCACTGAGTGACTGAAGTCTGTGTGGACTTTGCCTGACCAGAAGATACCAATGAAGGCATAATTTCAAATTGTGGCTCATCCCTTGGGGAGGCATAGAGGCCTGGTCATTCCATCTTTATCTTGAGGCCTGGCCTTTGACAGATGCGCCTCCAGCCACAGTCCTGATGTGTTCTCGTCCTCTGCACTGGCTCCCTCGAGGGCCCAGTCCTGCTTGACTACCTAGAATATTTCTGCTTAACTTAGCTGCCTGTAATACCAGCACTCTAGGAAGCTGAGGTAGGAGGATTGCAAGTTTGAGCCCAGCTCCTGGGAAACATAGTGACTTAGGGAGGCCCTGTCTTAATGAATGAATAAAAAAGGCTGAAGAAGTTGCTCAGTGTAGAAATCCTTGGTTCAATCCCCAGTACTTGCAAACAAACAAAAATCCTTACTCTTTGTTTTAGTTTTCTCTCATTGCTGAGGCAAAATATTTGACATCCAAAAGTTTTTTTTTTTTTTTTTTTTTGTACCGGGGTTCGAACTCCAGATTTTGTACTTGTGAGGCAGGCTGAGGAACCACTAAACTAAATCCCCAGCCCCTGACATACAAAAGTAAAGGGGAAAAGTTTACTGAGCTCAGTTTGTAGAGGTTTCAGTTCATAATTGGCTGGCTCCAAGGTAGGGTGGCGTGGTTGACAGGCATCGTAGAGGAGAAATAGTTCATGGCAGGCAGAAGGCAGCAAAGCAAGCAAGAGAGGAGACAGGCCTCTTTCCGTCCCTTATATTGTATCCAGGCTACCAGGAGAAGGGTGGTGCCAAACCAGTCAGTGGACTGATTTAGTAATCACCCACCCTTAACCCTAGCACCCTGCATCCTAGTCAAACACACACTCTAGATTTAGTGACCTCCAAGGAAGTCCCACCTATGACTGCATGAGGTTTTGGGGGGACATGGAGACACAAGCCGGAATACTCTTTTTCAAGAGATAGAGACTATTTATCAATCAAGAGAATAGGCAAGCATTAGAACCTTTGGTAAAGTACACACATCCTATAGGGGTTAGGAAATGGGATCTTTCCTAACCAAGATGTGTATGAATGACACAGACAACAGAAGACAAGAACTGTTTATGGTCTTCATTCACCCACTCGGTAAATATTTATTGAGTATCTACTACATGCTGGGCTCTATTTTAGGTGCAAGGAACAGAACAAACCAAGTCCCTATCCTAGCGCAGTTTCCGCTCTCAGGGACAGAGATGGAGCAAACTGGGACACAGTGTGGTGTGTGTGATGCAGCTGTAAAGAAAAATAAAGTGTGGGAGCTTGCTCTTGAAAGTAGGGGGTTAGGGTGGCCTCCCCAAGGTGAGGATAGGTGGACGCAAGTAAGCCAAGCACAGAATCTGCAGGGAGAGAATTCCAAGCAGACACAGTGGCTCATGCAAAGGCCTCATTAGGACAGGTGTTTGGAGTGTTCAAGGAATGGGGCAAAGCCTGAAGAGTGTGGTTGGAGATTCAGCAAGAGTGCATACATGAGCAGAGACTGGAGAGGTGAGTAGAACCACACCACGTAAGTTGTGTTGTTTTTGTTTTTGTTTTTTTGAGACAGAGTCTTGCTAGGTAGCCCAGGTTCGCTTCCAACTCTCTGAGAACCTCCTGCCTCAGCTTCCCAAGTGCTTGACTCACCATGCCTGGCTTCAGGAGTGTTTCTAAAGCAAAGTGAGCAAGTGGAAAGTGACAAGTGTCTGCCACATGGCCAAGTGTCAGGAGCGCACACAGAGGAAGACAATTCAGATGGCCTACGAAACAGGGAGCTCACCGAGGACTGGGATCGAGATGTCAAAGCAAATGATTCCTTCAAGACTGCAGCTTTTCTTTCTTTCTTTCTTTCTTTCTTTCTTTCTTTCTTTCTTTCTTTCTTTCTTTCTTAAGCTTTTCTCTCTTTCTTTCTTTCTTTCTTTCTTTCTTTCTTTCTTTCTTTCTTTCTTTCTTTCTTTCCTTCCTTCTTTCTTTCTTTTTCTTTCTTTCCTCTCTCTCTCTCTCTCTCTGCCTCCCTCCCTCCACCCTCTCTCTCTCGCTCTCTCTCTCTCTCTCTCTCTCTCTCTCTCGCTCTCTCTCTTTTGTGCCAGAGACCAAACTCAGGACCTTGCACTTGCAAGGCAGGGGCGGTGCCCCTAAGCTAAACCCCCAGCCCAAAACTCCAGCTTTTCCAAAGTCCAAAAGCCCTGGCGATCCAGAATAAAGACAAAAATATCCGTTTCAAAACGACTTCAGGACACCTCTCTGAAGGATCAGGAGGGAGGGCTGGCCACTGTGTCCCACAGAAAAGAAGAATCGGACAGGTAAAATGATGGCGAGGACAGAGGGACTTTCGTCAGATTGGTTAAATGACCACGAAGAAGAGGAGGTGAAAGTCTGTGAAAGCACGAGAGACTCAGAGCAAAAATGGCCCCCTTCCTACAGTCCTGTAATTCTGAAACTGGGGGACAAGAGGAGCTTGAAAATGGGGGTAAAGTCCATTTAGAAAGATACACTGGAGAGCAAATCAAAGAACCCTTCTTTAGACAGGACAACATTAAATATTTCCTAGTATGTGGAAGGACACGGGATGGGGTGGAGGACAATCGGCCTCTTACCTCCTCTGTCCTTTGTTGGGACAGGAACAAGTCTGGACCATCGAGTGCTGTCCCTCTCACCAGATCATCGCAGAATACAACCACAGAAACCAAGAATCACTGACAAGACTTCAGTGGATTCAAAATGCCAATAGATAAGGTCGCATTCTGAGTCAAAATTGGGTGGAAAGTAAATTCGAAAGTGAAAGATTTATAATAAACTAATAAGGGCAATTAAGGATATGGGGACAGATACATCCTTAACTTTGTGATTTATCCCATAGATATATACTATGTCCTCCAAAAAAAAAAAACAAAACATAGCTGGACATGGTGGCCCGCAGCTATAATCCCAGCACTATGGAGGCTGAGGCAGGAGGATTGCCATAAGTTCCAGGCCAGCCTGAACTACATGTCAAGACCCTGTCTCAAAAAACAACAAAAAATAAATAAATAAATAAATCAACAAAACACACAAGAAATGATAGGTGGGAATCTGAATTGGTCAGAAAAAAATAAGAACATTTTCTAAACACTATTTGTCAGTATCCGGGTTCTCATAGCCAGAAAGTAGATAAAAACAGGAATGTCGTCGTCTGAATTTAACACACAACCCAAATCCTCTGCTCTTACCAATCCCAGCCAAAGGTGAGGGAGAATCCAATGAACCAACTGTTAAACGTTGAACAGTTACCACCTTTGGTCTATGGGAGCTGTACCGATCTTCCCTGGCGGAAAAAAAAACCTTAAAATTGAGATCTTACTGGAAAGAGGATAGGGAAGGTGATAACCAGCGTGTTATTTTAACATCGAGATGTTAACAGTGGGCCACAGTTACCATAAAAACCCATACTTTTAGTCAAAGATATATGGAGATAACGATATTATTCTCTCCTTCCAAAAAATATTACAGCCAGAAACCTCAGTTACCACAGAGAACAGTCTCTGTCTTTTTTCCCCGTAGGTCCCCTTCTTTACCTGTTTTTTCCGTCCTGGTGGAGGAACTTTAAGCCCCGCCTCCAGCCCACCCAAGCTCCGCCTTCCTGGTCCACCTGTGCGCCCAGCCCCTGACGTTGCCGTTGGGGCTTCAGCGGCCTGCAGGATTCCGCCTCCTGATTGGTCGGCCCGTCCCCTGCCTGTGGGGCCCACCAATGGCAGCGGCGCTGGGTGGGGGGGTGCCCACATCCAAGATGGCGCCCCCAGGAGCTTGGAGCGGGTGACCGGCGGCGGGGAAGCGGCCTGGGCTGGCCCTCAGATTGAGGGGTCGTGGGGGCCTCTCTCCGGGCACCCCACCCCCTCGGCTCGACTACCACGCCTTCCCCGGGCCAGAGCCATGGCCGCCGAGAACAGCAAGCAGTTTTGGAAGAGGAGCGCCAAGCTGCCGGGGAGGTGAGCTCGGGACGCCGAGAAGGCGAGGGGCTTGGACCGAACCTTCACGGGTCCGGATCCTTAAATCCTGCGGGCCTGGGGCGCCTCCGAGGCCGGAAGACTGGTCTGAGAGAACCCGCGCTGCGGGCGCTGGGGTTTCCGGGCGGCGTCTGGGCAGCTGTCACGCACAGGGGAGCGGGACTGCTCGGTGTGGGGTGCAGACCGGGTCTGAGGGCGGAGGTCCCCGGGACTGGCCTCGGCGGAGAGGTGGGCGAAGACAGGCGTCAGGGCCCGCGGGGTCTGGGCAGGAGCCCGGGCCCGCCCCAGACCTGCTCCCCGCTTTAGACAGCGCTCGTCCTCCGGGGTCCCCACCCAGCACAGGTGGTTGCCTGGCGCCCGGGGTCAGCGCGCCGGAATCTCAGCCGGGACTCGGGGTGCGGTGACGGCTCAGGCGCTGCCTGCGGGGTTGTGAGCAGAGAAAGTGACAACAGTCCTCCAGCCGGATCTTACTTCAGCTCAAGTTGGCCCTTTCCCATTGGGAATTCTTACAGGATGACCACAGAATCCTTGGACGTTGTTGGATTTGGCCACCCACTGTAAGCACTTTCTCTCCTGCTCTTTTTGTGCCAATGCACCGGATTCTTCGTTCTTCAGCTGGAGAGCGGAGCCTCTACTTTACTCCCCTTACGTTGACACTCCGAGCAGCGTCCAGCCTCAGTGTGCCGTTGGTACAGTTTCATTTTGTTTTGAGCAGACTCCTGAGAAGTAAAAGGAGGGTGTTTCAGTCATGAATTTCAGATTTACGCCAGCTGCACACTACTTAGCCATAGAATTCACATCTGGTTAGGTCTGCACGTGCCACTTTCCTCATCGGTTAAGGTCTTCTGGGATAATCCTTTGACCTTGTGCTTTTCTTTTTTTAATTGAGAGAGAAACAAAGGTCAGTACAGGCCTTGTGACCCTTGTTTTGTCTGAGATTGTATAAGACATACGGAACATAGGGTGGGAATCAGCTTTTAGTAAAACATATTAAAATAAAAGGGGTAGCAGGCCTGTAATCTCAGCACTCAGGAGGCTGAGACAGGAGGATCACCGTAAGTGTGAGGCCAGCCTGGTCTAACAGTGAGGTCCAGGCCAGCCAGAACTACATAGTGAGACCCCGTCTCACAAAACTTAACAGGAAAGGGGAGCACAGAGATAGCACGGATGAAAGTGCTGAGGAATTACAGTGTTAACATAAGTGCTAAAGATGTTCTGTGTTTTCAGATAAGCACCACTTCCTGGCCTCTGATTCATTTTCCTTCCTGGTCTACTGAGCCCTCTAGTTGGGTTAACTGCTCTGTCTCTCCGGGGTTTTCCATAGAGAGAGCATGAAGTTTGGCAGCCTGAGATCGTAATCATAATCAGTGGGGAAACCATTCTGGCAGGAAGCCGTGTGGGAGATGTGAGGCATGGCGCATCCTCTGTGCCTTTCTTCTTATTTATTTTTTTAACATGGTCTCGCCATGCAGTCCAGGCTGGCCTTGAACTCACTATGTAGCCCAGGCTGGCCTCCAACTTGCCACAATCCTCCTGCCTCAGCCTCCAGAGATCACAGGTGTGCGCCACACACCCAGCTTCATCTGTGCCTTCTGACTGCTGGCTGTATTTTCTGTCTTTGGTTTTCTGTATTTCTTCTCCTGGACTACAGAAGAAATACAGCACTACTTCTGTGGGATAGGGAAAGGTTCTTTTTCTTCAAGTTCTTGTCTTTCTTTTTCATTTTGCTTGGCTCTCTTTCCTGTGTGACCAAAGACAAAGAACTGACTTAATCTCTCTAGACCTCAGTTTCCTCATCTATAAAGTAAGGAATAAGTGTTTTCCTCAGAGTTACTGTCAGGACAAAATGAAATACCAACTGGTAAAGAACCTAGGCAAGTGTTTGTTTCACACAATTATGGTTGCTCAATAAATCGTAATTATTAAGATTACTGTTTATTAGAACAAGTAAACATTTAAAAAACTGTATCTCAGATCCTTACCCAGATATGAGTTGACTCATTCATTCTTATGGTGTTAAAGTACAATCACAATTCATAATAGTTTTTATTACCTTGCTTGTTGAAAAGAAATACTGTTCAGCTGTCTGCTTTTAGCAGGGAAACCCCAGGAGCTCCTGGCTATGAGAAAACACTGGCGTCCTTGTAGCTAGAAAGCTGCTTTGGTTTAAACAAAATGTTGAGCCGTTCATGGTGGTGCATGCCTGTAATCCCAGCACTCGGGAGGCTGAGGCAGGAGGATCGCTGTGAGTCTGAGACCAGCCTGGGCTACATAGTGAGTTCCAGGTCAGTCTCAACTATATAGTGAGACCCTGTCTCCAAAAAACAAAAACAAAAACAAAAACCTGGAGGGGGAAAAAAAAAAAAGAAAATGTTGACTTTTTTTTTTTAAAGAATAGAACTTTTGCACCTGGAGTCTCAGTCTTAGAGAAGAAAAACTTTCTTCTTCATAGGGAAATGAAAAAATGTCCCCTAGGTTCAGGGCAGCCTAGAAGTGAAACTCATTTTCTTTGCAAACTGAAAGGTATAAAATCAAAAGTGAAGGCAGGCTACTTTCTTTGATTGTGATCCAGCAACCAAAGTGACAACCAAAAAGAATTTTATTAAATAGCCAAGTTCAGAATGAATCATTCTTTTAAAAAATAACAACATTAGGGCCAGGGACGTAGCTCAGCGGCTCTGTGCCTGCCTGGCAAGCACAAGCTCCTGAGTTTGATTCCCCGGTACTGAAAAAAAAATTTTTTTTTTGAAAAAGAATGATGTTAGCTGGGCTTGGTGATGTATACCTGTAATCCCGGAACTTGGAAGGCTGAGGCAGGAGGATTGCTGCTAGTGAAAGGCCAGCCTGTGGTTCATAGTGAGTTCAGGACCAGCCTGAACTACAGAGTGAGAGCCTGTTTGAAAACAACAAAAAAGGGCTGGGGATGTCACTCAGTGGGAAGACCGTCTCCAGTACTACCACTCCCCAAAAAGTTATTGATCACACACACACACACACACACACACACGATTAAAGGGTGCAATTCAGCGGTCTTTAATACACTCATCTGAAGTATAGATGGTGTTGTCTGACCATCCCACTAAGGTCAGAACATTTCTACTGTGACAAACAATCCTGTATACTTATTAGCAGCTGTTTCCCGTGATGTCCTCCCTCCAGAGCCTGGCAACTACTAATCTGCTCTCCGTTCCTACGGATTTGCCTCCGTGAACATCTCACATTAGTGGAGGGACACGAGGACTTTTGTGACTGGCTTCTGGTCCTAACCATGTTTTTCAGGCTCACCCGCACTGAAGTGTGTGCCGGTGCTTTATTTCCTTCTATGGCGGGGAGTTCGCTGCGTGGAGACACCACGTTTTTTGTTGTTATTTTGTTTCATTTTGTTTTTATTTTTTCAGACGGGATCTTGCTGTGTAGTTCAGGGTGGCCTTGAACTCACCATGTAGCCTCCTGTCTCAGCCTCCCGCGCGCTGGGATTCCAGGTGTGCCCCACCAGGCCTGGCTCACCACGCTTTGTTTGTAGTCATCGGCTGATGGACGTTTGGGTGGTTTCCACTTTTGACTACTATGAATAGCGCTTCTGCGGACATTCATAGGACTGCTTTTGTGTGGACGTGTTTTCTTTTGAGTATATGCAGAACTGAGATGGGTGAGTCTCTGGAAAGAGAGATCTAAAGTTCTACCCGTTATTTGTAAGAGCCCCATGCAGCCAGGCGTGGTGGCGCACGCCTGGAATCACAGCACTTGGGAGGCTGAGGCAGGAGGATCACTGCTAGTCTAAGGCCAGCCTCCAAAATAAACAAGTCGCTTTTTCCAAACAACAACAAAACCGAATGAGCCCCTTGTACTTAGAACAGAACGGCCATCCTGTTGGTGTGGGAGGATAGGAGTCAGCCTGTACCATCGTGGGTGAGAATGCAGACCTGGCCCTGGTGGCCTGGCTTCTGCCCGCGCTGCCACAGTCTTCCCAGCTGTGACTGTGGGGAAGCGAAGCCCTGGGTGCCTCTGCTAGCCTCCGACCCCTAGGAGGACTTCACGGGGCGATGCACAGCAGGGTGGGGACGTGCGTCGCCTTGGAGATGGTGGTGACTGGAGAGGCCCCGACTTCGCGTCTTCCCCAGCTGGACTGGAAGGCTTTGGTCGTGCGTCTGGAGCCCCAGTGTGAGCTGGGCCGTGGGTCCCATCGTTACCAGGCAGCGGGTTAGGGAAACAGGAAGGAGGTGAGCAGGGCGGCCGTCTGCCGGCGTCAGCAGTGCCTAGCTTAGGGCTTTGAACAGCCCACTTCCCAGCTTCCAGTCCAGCAGGCCTGGACGCCAGAGAAGTCGAGTTTCGAATGATGCCCCACGGGTGGCAGCGCCTGCAGGTCTCAGGCTGCGCCCGGAGTGCAGAGCAAGGTCCCAAGTCAGAGGGAGAGGAACCCAGCCCCATCCCCGGGCCCTGAACTGGATACTGCGCCCGGTGGTCACCACTTTCAGGTTACGGCCTTCCGCCTTCGGGTCGGGTCAGGGCGGTTGCGGTGGTGTCTTCAGTGGAGAAGCCAAGATAGAAAGAAGGAGGGAAAGGTATGCTAGGGCTTCAACCTATGACTTCTTTCCCCTCCTTCCTTCCTTTCCTTCTTTCTTTCTGTTTCTCTCTTTCCTTCCTTCATCTGTCGTGGTATTGTACTGAGGATGGAATCCAGGCCCTTTGTGCCGGGCTACATCCCAGCCTTTTTTTTACTTTCTATTTTGAAACAAGGTCTTGGTGAGTTGGCTCAAACTTGGGACCCTCTTGCTTCAGCCTCCTGAGTGCTGGGATGACAGGTGAGCACCACCATGCCCGGCCTAATGTTTTATTTATTTGTTTGGATACCAGAGATGGAACTCAGGACCTTACACTTACCAGGCAGGTGCCGTGCCCCTGAGCTACATCCCCGGCCTACTCTAATGTTTTATTTTCAAGCTAGACATTGGACACCTTCCTGAGTGTTCCTTCTAGTATTATCCAAATCTAGTGTATTTTTTACAAAAATGCACTATTATTAAAACTGTATAGGTTATTAAAATATATATAGGGCCAGGGATTATTAAAAATGGGGAGGTGGAGCAGCCCGGGCACCAGCTCTTTCCTGTCTTCATTTGGCCTTCGCCATCATTCGGCCTCTCCTCCTCTAACTCCCCACCTGTCCCTTTTGAGGTGCGGTAAATGATTCATCAGACAGAGTAGTCCAGGTGCAGAACCATCATGGTTTAGTGCAAGAAAATGCTAACAGATTCTCCATGGGCTCCGATCCCCCTGCCGAGGACCATTCCTGTCTTCGCCCTTCTGCCGGGCCCGCAGATCGGGCTGACATCTGTAAGAAACAGTTGACTGGGACGCGGGGATCCCCTTCCTGGGGGCTGTATGGCCACCGCCCAGAAGCGGTGTGACCCATTAGGTCTGCTTTCTCTCTGCTTGGTTACTGGCAGGGGCGAACCCCTTCCGGAGATCCACGGAGTCTCTCTTATTTTCCTGGCCGCTCACCTAACCTAACTGGTCTTTTGAGATCTCCCTGCAGCATTTATCCCCAGATTTTATGTTTTATTAAGAAGCCAGGCATAGTGGTGCCCCCCGGGAGGCTGAGGCAGGAAGATCGCTGAAAGTTCAAGGCCCCCTTGGGCTGTTTCAAATTAAAAGAAAAGAAGGCTTGTGGACTTGGAGAGTTGTGTACTCACCTGAGTGTATCTGTAAATGCTACAATGTAAATCATTGACCCTTGGGGGTTATTTTGGTTATTTGGCTTTAATTTTTGTTTTGTCTGAACCTTCAGCTCTCTAAGCCAGACCTTCCTGGTGTTCTTGGTACTCCTTCTTTCCTCGTGTTTTCCTTCTGCCTAGGAAACCCCTTGAACACATTAAAGTAGCATTGCTCTTGTCTCCCTGGTGGCCCCACGTAGAGGTTAGTTTACGATCAGGAGAGCCTTCCAGGAGGGTTTGCAGCCGGGTGGGAGGGGCCTCGTGCGCAGAGTTCAGGGAGCCCGGCTGTGCCACAGTCGCCTGAGCGGGGGCTATGACGGGCACACTGGCGTTCAGCTGCAGACTGTGCCGCTCTCGCAGGACAGGATGCTCCGCATTATACCAGAGGGGCCATGCGAGAGCTTTTCCATGTTGTGGCCAGGTTTGTGACACAGGTAGCCTTCAGCCAGCGCGTTCAGCTTCCTGACAACTTGCTTCTTTCTTTTCTCTTGCTTTTAGTATCCAGCCTGTGTATGGAGCACAACACCCTCCTTTGGACCCTCGACTCAGCAAAAAGTAAGTCAGGGCATTTCCCTTCCTTCCACCAGTTTTTTCTATCACCCTGCACTGTTTCTGCCTTAGTCTGGACCAGAAGGTGCACAGTCATCTTACTTCCAGATGGTCCAGTACTAACTTGGAAAGCTCTCATTAAAGTTTTTATTTTCTTTTCCCCCCTCTGGTTTTTGTTTTGTTTGGTGGTATTGAGGATTAAACCTAGGGCTGCATCCTCTGCCCTTAAAAAAAATTTTTTTTTATCTTAAGCACAGTCTCGTTAAAACACTCAGTTGCCCAAGCTGGGCCTGAACTTGGAACCCTCCTGCCCCAGCCTCCAGAGTGCTGGTATGTGCCACCAAACCTGACTTGAAAAGGTCCTTTTGGCTTAAATATTGTCCCTGAAACCAGATGATGCTGATTTCCTCCCCGTCTTCCAGCTGGGTGCCAGGTTTCTGGGGCTTGTTGCTTCTGGACAGGATAGGAGCAGGACTGTCCTCTCCCACATTTCCATGCTGAGAAGCAGGGTGGACAGAGCAGTGGTGGCCCGCGCTCTGCAGCCCGCTTTCCCTGACACAAGAAAGCCCAGGCCACATGCACACTTAGAAGCTTCTTGGAAGCTTTTTCTTTGGTAAGACTCAGTTGTTTTCAAACACAGCAGTGAGTGTGGTTGGACCAAGCCGTGAGGGTGTGCATCCGTCCCCAGTGTCACTGCAGCCCACCTTTCTCTCGTGGGCCATCTTCAGCCATCTCGACTGTACATGAGGAGGTCGGTCACCTTCCCAGAGTTTCTGTGGGTGTGCTTTCTATTGTTTTTTCTTGAGACAGGGTCTCGCTGTGTAGCTCAGGCTGGCCACAAACAGCAATCCTCCTGCCTCAGCCTTCCCCCAAGTGGTGGGATTGCAGGTGTGCACCACCACGCCTGGCCAGGAGTTTATTTTTTAAGGCAGTTTTAGATTCGCAGTTAAACTGTACCTCACGCATTTTCTAGTTGTGCTCGATACATGTGTGGTTAACATGTGAATCGCTATCCACCGTGTAAGCCGCTGGTGTCTTTCCGTGGGCCAGGGTCACCATACCTGTCCACAACTGAGTTTCCCACCTCCTGTGTCCAGCGCACACCTTCAGGGGTGCCACACGTCCTCCGTAGCCAGGGCAGCTTCCCAGAACTGGTTTCCTCCCATTCGTGATGTGGCACAGGAGAGCAGCAGCCGTACTTGCTGGAGTAGTCGCCGCTGAGCTTTGCAGAGGGGAGGAATCTGTCCCTGAATCGATTGCTTCTTTCACGAACGTGGGGTTTGGTGTCAACGTCCCTCAAAGTCTGCCACGCGGGCAACACCTGGGTGTGTGCCGGGCCATTTTACAGTTCCAGATGCTGCCGTAAAGCGTTACGGCCCTTCTCTCAGTGCCTTTGTTGGACGTTTTTATCGCTTCCTCTGCTATCAGTCCACTTGGGGCTGTGCTAATTACTGTGCAGCTGATCCCTGTCACAGCGGAGGGCTGGACACCAGGGCCTCGATTACCCAACTGAATAGGCGCTGTAAGTCACTTGCTGTCTGTGTATCCTGACTTCAGTTTGCCAGGTTATTACCATTCGAGAGCGTACCACCTGCAATAATTTTTGTCACTCCAATAAAACTGGTCTCACTGTTGAGCAGCCCTCTTGGCTGCTCGCTGGCAGATAGGCTTCTTTGTTTTTTTGTGGTACCAGAAATCGAACTCAGGACTTTGTGCTTGCCAGGCAGGCATGGTGCCTAGGCTAATTTTTTGGAGGGGGTACTGGGGATTGAACCGGGTCTTTGCGCTTGCAAGGCAGGTGGTGGAACCACTGAGCTAAATCCCCGGCCCTAGGCTTCCTGATTGATATGAAGTATGACAGTCTCACTTCCAAGTTAGAAAACTAAGTCACACGAAGCCACACTAGTTACTGAGTAACTGGATCTACTTGAACATTGCTGACTTTCTCCACTTGCTTCACGTCACTTAGCCGGGCATGGTGGCGCACGCCTGCAATTCCAACACTCGGGAGGCTGAGGCAGGAGGATCGTCAAGTGTTTGAGGCCACCCTGGGCTACACAGTGAGTTCACAGCAAGTGTTACTCCATAGTGAGTAACAAATTAAATGGTATGAAGCATTTTTCTAAAATCAGTAAGAGTTTAGTTTCATCAAATTATGGAATGATTGTTTTTTCCCAGTACTAGGGTTGAACCCAGGGCCTGTTTACTGTGGTACGTCCCCTGCCCTTTGTGTTTAGTTTTGATTTGAGACAGGGTCTTGCTAAATCCTTACATTGGCCAGGCCGGGCTCCCGTTGCTGTCCTCCTGCCTCAGCCTCCCACAACAAGGAGTAGCGACCAGAGTCGCGCCCTCCTGGAGGGACTGAACGCCTGGGTTCCCAATTAGTATAACCCGTGGCCACTCTTTGAGGACTTGTTGGAACACGCAGTGTATTTCCTTTCTGAGTTACAGTCACCCAGACTCCCCACTTTCTCTGCCACTCTTCAGCTCCAGGGCCTTGGGCCAATCGCTAACCTCCTAGTTAGAACTGGAAGGCCTCGCCCGCAGCGCCCCAGCCTGAGCCCCCCCCATTTGCTGCTCTGTGCTGAGCTCCAGGAGGGGAGAGGAGACTGGATGGTTCTCTCCTGAGCGCCCACCCTGCACGGGCTCCCGCCCACCCTGCGGCTTCTGGGTCTGACGCTCAGCGCGGTGCCCGAGGAGCAAGCTGTGCCGCCGCCTGGGGTGCTACTGGAAGGCCTCGCCCGCAGCGCCCCAGCCTGAGCCCCCCCCATTTGCTGCTCTGTGCTGAGCTCCAGGAGGGGAGAGGAGACTGGATGGTTCTCTCCTGAGCGCCCACCCTGCACGGGCTCCCGCCCACCCTGCGGCTTCTGGGTCTGACGCTCAGCGCGGTGCCCGAGGAGCAAGCTGTGCCGCCGCCTGGGGTGCTCTGAGGAGGCCCAGGGCTGGGGCTCCGCGCCTGCCTGTGTGCCTGCCTGTCTCTGCTGCCTCTTGACAGGACGACACCGATGAACGTGGGGAGGCTGAAGGCCGCACAAACCCTGTCCTTGGTCTGTAGATTTGCGTGGTGACTCAGTATCTTCTCTTTGTCTTTATTCTTTGCTCTCCTTCTCTCTGTTTCTGTGAACTTGGCCTGGGGGCCCCAGACTCTCCTGCCTCAGCCTCTGGAGAGGCCGTGTTCATTAGCTACTCCCCCTCCCTTTCCATCTTGCGGGTGGTTCTTACCACCTTGTTCTTTTTTGGACCCCTCACCCTTTGTAGGTGATGCTTACCCCTTCCTCCCTGCAGCCTCTTTCCTCCGGACAGAGCTGACTGGTCTCTGGGTTCTCTGGATGTGGCAGGTGTCCCTAGAATATTTCCTGGCGGTCTCGGAATGGTCTGTGTTGAGTCTCGTATCTTTCCCCCTCAGAGAATGACAGCCCGCTCCTCGCCTTCCTCTCCCTTGGGTCGGGATGTGTCATTCCAGGCTCTATCTGTGAGTCTTCATTTGAGTAAATTCCATTTTTTCCTTGGGCTGGAGATAGAACCCAGGGCCTTCACCTTGTGCTGCATCTCCAGCTGTCTTAGATTGGAGCCAAGGTCTCCCTTAGTTGCCCAGGCTGAGCTTAAACTTGCTGTCCTCCTGCATCGTCCCTGAGTGTTGGGGTCTCAGGCAGGGCCACTACGCTGGCTGTAGTTCTTAATCTACTTCAGTTATGTTGATCCATCATCCGCTTCGAAAATGTAACGAAGCTGGGCGTGGTGGGACACACCTGTAATCTCAGTCCTCGGGAGGCTGAGGCAGGAGGATCGCTGTGAGTTCCAGGCCAGCCAGGGCTACGTAGTGAGTTCAAGGCCAGCTTGGACTGCATAGTGAGACCCTGTGTCAAAAAAACACACATTAAAAAAAAGTGAAATATTCACATACATAAAAAAGTATAAAGAAAAATATATCCAACACCCTTGTGTCCACCGCTCTGCTGATCAACTGCTTCTTTGCTCTTGCTGTTGTGGGACTGAACCCAGGACTGCAGCGCTCTCCGCCCGGTCACGCCCCAGCCCTGAAAGTCAGCCTCCTGGTTCCTGCCTGCTGTGTGCTCTCTTGTTTGTGGTAGTGGGGATGGACCTCGGGTCCTTGCGCGTGCGAGGCAGGCGGCGGAACCACTGAGCAAATTCCGGCCCCATCACTTGCTCTTGGTGCCTGCACGGCCGCCAGGAGAACATAAACATAAACCGCGCTTCCTGCCCAGCTGATGGGCGAGCTGTGAGCGTCCGGTCCAGGCCAGGGGAAGGGGGGGCCCTCTGTCTGCAGAGCCGCGCTTCGCGTCTTAGCCCACGGGGAGTTTACTCCGGAGATGTCTGCTCTGTCTTCTTGCCTCAGTTTTCTCTTCTTAGATCTCCCGTGTGCTTCTGTTGTCCCTTCAGTAGGCGCGTGAGTCCTCCTACTCCAGGGCATCGAGGAAGGCCAACACCAGTTGCTGAAGTCCTAGTTACTGACGTCACTGTCGTTGTAGGAGACGTGGCCCGGGCAGAGAAGTACAAGAATGAGGTTAAGTGTCCCCATAACCTGCGGCTCAGAGAGAAGCCCTGCTGACATTTTCACGCCATTTCTTCGGGTCCTTTCTGTGCCCATCCTTTTTGTAAACGTGTAATGCCTATTATAGGAAATGTGTAGGAACCCTATTCTTCTGTTGACTTTATTGAGATGGTTTTCAGTGTTGCTCAGTACCCTTTCGATAGGATTTGTTAAAACGTGATTAGTATCTGTTGGCAGCGCGGCATGTGGTGGTCGTTTTGGGACTCAGTAGCTGCCTGGAGTGGAGCTGGGTTCGAGTCCCTGTGTTTCCCTCTCCCTTTCTCCCCTCCATCCCCTTCCTCTTCTCTGAGAATCTGCCTTCTTGTTTCCTACCACTTCTCCCTGATTTTGTCCATTCATGTGTTTATATTTTACATTTCTCGTGTAAGAGGAGCCATGCATTTTAAGTATTAGCGTTAAGTATTTAACTTTCTGCGTCTGATTTACTTGGCGGCAGCCTCAGGTTCCCTCCACTGGCTTACGGAAAACAAGACTGCATTCTTCTTTATGGCCGAGTAATATTCCATGGTGTGGACAGCCCATTTTCTCTACCCGTTCGTCTGTTGACAGGTATAGAGGCTGTTTCCTGAGCTTAGCCGCCATAAACACTTGGTGTGGCCGAGTCGCCATAGTCCACTGTCTTTAGATCTTCCGGAATATACCCAGAGTGACTCAGCTGCACCAAACAAAATTCAACACTCCTTGTGATAGCTATAATTTATCTAATCATTTCTAATGTCTACATGTTTGTTTTGTCTATAATTTTTAACCAAAATAGGTGAGAGTAGTTGTTTTTGTTTGTTTTTTTTTTTTTTTTTTTTTTTTTTTTTT